GGGGGAGGGGCAGGCATCACTTAGTATTTCGGACTGGGGCCAGCCCCCCAGACCTCTCCACTGGTTCCCTACTCCACGCCGGCATGTTGCATTCACGTCTTGGAGCACTGGGTTGAAGTCTGGTCCCTCTTTTCCTCACACCTTAGTCTTTAGAGTGACATTCTTGCTCTTCAAAACTTTATAAAGAGGTTTTGTGCAGAGTTACCCATTGTAATGTGTCCTTTGATTTATTGAGTGCTACTTCCATGAGCATTGGTTGTGGACCCAAGCAAGTTAAAATCCTTGAAAAGGTCCATCTATTTTCCTTTTATGATGACATCTGTTGTGCATTTGTGAGGATGTGGGTTTTCTTTAGAGTGAGTGGCAGTCCATACTAAAAGCTGCAATCCTTGGTTTTCATTAGTAAGTGCATCAAGTCCTCCTTACTTTCAGCAAACAAGGGTGCATCGTCTGCATATAGAAGGTTAAGCCTTCATCTGATCTTGGTGCTGTGTTCTTCATATAGTCCAGCTTCTCTGCTTATTTGCTCAACATTCAGATTGAATGTATGATGAAAGGATACAACACTGACATACACCTCCTGAATTTCAACCACTCAGCATCCCCTTGTTCTGTTGTCTCTTGATCCATGTACAGGTAACACATGTATACAATGAAGTGTATTTTTCATTCTTCTCAATGCTATCCATAGTTTTTCTGATCCACATCATTGAATACCATTGCATAATTGCTAAAACACAAGTAATCCACATGGAAAAGACACACCAGCCTGTGTGATCCAAGGATAGTAAATAATAAAATCCAACTCCAAAGGAGAGAATAGTTTCAGAGCTTAAATTGCAAACACCTGGTTTGCAGAAGTCTGTGGATGACACTGGAACCCCAAAATCCATTTGCAGGATCCACACATATATTAATCCTCTGATGGTGAATTCCTTCTGATCATAGTGGAAGAATGTGAAGAGTCTTGTTATTACTGATGTAGTGAGGTTAAAATGTGATATCTTTTCATTTGATTTCCCTTTGACGCGTTTTATGATTGTTTAAGTATAAAAAACAAAGTGAAGGAAATACACATGGATTAAACTTCTGATAAATCACTTCTGACCATAGGTCAGGGATGTGAATCATGCGGAGTGCATTGGAAAGTGGTTTATTGCAGATGCATTTAGGTTAAAATTTAACATCTTATTGACTTCCCTTCTGATTCATGTAAAATGTGTTCTAGTTTTTTTTTGTGTGTGTGTGTGTTCTAGTTTTTAATACTTTCTTTTCTATTGAGGTTTTTGATTATTTTGTCATCTTTTTTTCCATATATTTTTCCTGTATATGAAATCCAAGATAGTTAAATCTATAGAGACAGTTACTGGATTCATGGCTTCTTGGGAGTATGGCAGGGGAGGTTGGGGTGAATGGGAGCTAATAGCAATGAGCACAAGAAAGAAGAAAATATTTTAAAATTGATTGTGGTGATGCTTATACAACACTTCTTAATATGACTGAACTCTTGAATGGTATGGTATGTGAATTATATGCCAATAAACTGTTAAAAAATAAAACACAAGTAAACATCTTTCTCGGGAGCCCTGGTCCACATTGGGCTGCCAGCTGCAAGGTCAGCACTACGAAGCCACCAGCCCCTCCAGGGGAGAAAGCTAAGGCACACTCCCATCAAGAGTTACAGACTCTGAAATCCACAAGGGCAGTTCGACCCTGTGCTGGAGGGTGGCTATGAGTCAGAATTGGCTCGATGGCAGTGAGAAACATCTTTTTGGAACTCTCTGTTTCAGCCAAGAGCTACCTCAGGTCAACAATGATATGCTGTTTCACATCCTCTTCTGATTCCAGTTTTAATTCCTTGCAGCTCCCTGTTGATGCACTGTTGCAACCAATTTGCAAAATTTCACTTGCGTATGCATTATGTTGGTTCATCTTTCTTTGGAATTATGAGTATCTCTTCTAGTCATTTGGCCAGCTAGCTGTCTTTTAAATTTCTTCCTATAGATGAGTGCTTCCAGTGCTTTATCAGCTTGATGCACAGCAGTTTGGCATAGTTGATTAGGTATTGGGCTTCTAACCACAAGGTCAGCAGCTCAAACCAGTAGCCCCTCCTTGGGAGACATACAAACCTTTCCACTCATGTAAAGATGTACAGTCTTCAACATCCACAGGGGAAGCCCTACTCTGTTCTGCAGGGTTGTTATGAGTGGTAATGGACCTAGTAACAGTGAGTGTGGGCTTTGGGCTTTTACTTGCAATAGCCATCAGCTAGGAAAATAGAGACCAACAGGTCAACACTTTCTCTAAAGCAACAGAAGTTAAATGCCTCCTAATAAATGAATAGTTAATAAATTTTAATATGTTCTACAGTGGAATACTATTGAGGATTAAAAATGAATGAACTATTGATATATGCAACACCATGGTTAAATCTATTTTGAGAAGCCAGAGAATAGTGAACATGCTGTAATTTATTTATTTTCATACTGTAATTTACATCAAACTAAAAAATTCAAAACTTAAACTCACTGCCAAGTTAATGCCAATGTACAGGAAACATACAGGACATGGTAGAACTGCCTTTATGGATTTCTGAGACTGTAACTGTGGGGAGTAGAACACCTCATCTTTATCCCTCAGAGTGGCTGGTAGTTTTGAACCACTGACCTTCAGGTTAGCAGCCTAATGCATAACGGCTACAGTGATAAAAAGTTTAGCTGGCTAGGATTTGTGGGGAGAAAATGAGACAGGATGAAGTTTTTTATATATATATGTGCATATTTTATATAAATAAGATTAGACATATAATATATACATAAACTACATATAAAGAAACTTTTTCTTTTGTGGGCGATATATATATTTATTGTATTGATTGTGGTGAAGATATCATGAATCCAAGCTTATAGGTCAGGACTTATCAAATAAAACACTTTAAATTAAGTATAGTTTATTATATACCAATTATAACTCAACAAAGCTATTTTTAAAGTTTTTTTGCTTAAATAGCCAACAGATAACATAAAACTTCCCAAATTGCTCAATCAACCTAAAATTCGGCAGGATAGTGTAACAAGAAGGTGCTTCACACCAGCCTGTGTGATCACAGGATGTTGATAGGATCAGATATCAGGCATCAAAGACCAGAAACCATATCATTGTGAATGAGGGGGAGTGCAGAGTGGAGACCCAAAGCCCAGCTGTAGGCAACTGGAAATTCCCTTACAGCAGGGTTATGGAGAGGAGAAGAGCCAGTCAGGGTGCAGTATAGCACGGATGAAACATACAACTTTCCCCTAGTTCTTGAATGCTTCCCTCCCATCATGACCCCTATTTTACCTTACAAATCTGGCTAGACCAGAGGATATACACTAGTACAGATAAGAGCTGGAAACACAGGGAATTCAGAACAGATAAACCCCTCAGGACTAATAATGAGAGCAGTGATACCAGGAGGGTAAGGGGAAGGTGATGGAGAAAGGGAAAAATGATCCCAATGATTTACATATAACCCCCTCCCTGGGGGATGGACAACAGAAAAGTGAGTGAAGGGAGACATCGGACAGTGTAAGACATGAAAAAATAATAATGATTTATAAATTATCTAGGGTTCATGAGGAAGGGAAGATGAAGGAGGGGGGGTAAAAAAATGAGGAGCTGAGACCAAGGGCTCAAGTAGAAAGAAATGTTTTGAAAATGATGATGGCAACAAATGTACAAATGTGCTTGACACAATGTATGTATGTATGCATTGTGATGAGTTGTACGAGCCCCAATAAAATGATTTCTTTTTTTCAAAAACAAGGTGCTTCAAAAGCTCATGGAAGACGATCTCATTATCTTTTAATTATGTTTTTCTTTGAATTTTTTGAAGTCCTTCTTAGAGGAATCAAGAAGTGGAGGTAAACAACAACCAAAAAGAATAAAATAGTATACCTAAATCCAATTATACTAGTAATTGAATATTAATGGACTAAACACTGTATCTACATTTTAATATCTAAAGATAACTATTATCAGAATTGGTTTTTTAAAGATTAAGGTCCAATTACGCTGTATCCAAAAGATACTCTCCATATAGAGATAGATATTTGAAAGTGAATGGATAGGAAATGATATCATGCAAAGCTAGTGTGGCTACATTAATATCAGATAAAGTAGACTTCAAAACAATGAGTTAATAAGAAAAATTCATACATATAAAAGGTTCAATTTATCAGGAAGCCATTATTAATGTGTAATGAGTTTGAAATCACATGATAGAATTACAGGTATAATTCTCAACTATAGAGGCAGAATGATAGAAGGATTAACAAAAAGAAAGAAAGAAACAAATAGAAAATTCAAATTAGTAAAGCAGCAGAATTGAATAATACTATCAAATGCTTTGATCTAGTTGCTGTTTTTAAGTGCCTTAGAGTGCGTTCTAAACCATAGCCACCCTATAACCCAACAGAGAGCTCTTCTTGAGCTCATTGTCCCAACCATCAATCCATCTCTTTGAGGGCCTTCCCCTTCTTTGCTGCCCCTCTACTTTACCAAACACAATGTCCTTCTCCAGGAACTAGTCTCTGCAGACTATGCCTGAAGTATGGGAGACAATCTCGCCACCCTTGCCTCTAAGGAGCACTCTGGTGGCACTTCTCAGACAGATCAGCTTGTCCTTTTAGCTGTCCATGGTACTCCCAACAGCTCTTTCCAGCACCACAATTCAAATGCATAGCTTCTTCTTAGGTCTTCTTTATTCAATGTTCAACTTTCACACGCATAGGAGACAATGAAAAACACTGTGGCTTGGGGCAGGTACGCTTTAGTCCTTTCTCAAAGTGATATCCTTATTTTTCAATACTCTAAAGAGGTTTTGTGCAGCAGATTTACATAACAGAACTGTCTTTTGATCTTTTGACAGCTGCATCCATGAGCATTGATTGTGGGCCAAGTAGCTTGATCTAGTTAGCATTTATGAAATAGTACACCCAATAATCACAGAACACACAATCTTTTTTTTTTTTTTAACACACAATCTTTTTAAGTGCAAGCAATGATCTTACCAAGTTATTCTGTGCCGTAAGCCTAACGAGAACCTTACCATCACCTTGTATCATCTATACCTGAACCCTGGGACACAAGCCAGCCAGCCAACCAAACTCACCTGACCCACTAGTCACTAGGGTTCTTTGCTTGGCCTAAGTCAGTATTTTAGGATCCACTAACATGCTATTTCTATTTACAAAAAAAATACATAGCATATTGTGATATCTACCAAAAACAATAAAAAATATAAGTTATTAGAAATACTTATAAAGGACACTAAAGTCTCAGAGAAGTAACTTCAGGACTGAAAGCTTATATGGGTCATGGCTTCATCTACCCTAAGACCAGAAGAACTAAATGGTGCCTGACTACTACTACTGACCATTCTGATGAACACTGGTAGAACCAAGAGAAAAACACAGAACAGAACTTAAATTTTTTTAAAAGCCCAGGCTTTCTTTAGTTAAGCAGCCCTGGTGGTATAGTGATTACAGATTGGGCTGTGATCCACATGGGTGGCAGCTTAAAGCCACCGGAGCTCCATGGACGAAAGACTGGGCTTTCTACTTCTGTAAACAGTTAACAGTCTTGGAAACCCAGAGGGGTCGCTGCAAGTCAGAATTGACTCAATGGCCGCCAGTTTGATTTTCAGCTTTTCTTTAAGTTTAGACTAGAAGACTTCCTAAGATTATTAGCCTTTGAACTGGAACTATCTTTTGAGGTCACCTAACACTGAAATAACAAATTGATACACAAAATAAATATCACCCATTAATAGGGTGCTCTATTAAAAAACCATCTACATAAGATCAAATGTTCAACAAGTAAGGGGTTAGGAAACTAGAGTACTGGAATAGGAACAACCAGAATGCAAAGAGAATGTTAACACATTGTGAAATATTGAATTACTGTAATTTAACAATTTGTATAGAAATTGCCAAGTGGGAACCTAATTTGCTGTGTAACATTTCATGGAAAACAAATATTTTTAAAAATTCTTATTAAATACTAAAATATATTTTCAGGTGCAAAAAATACAGTACTCCATAATTGTCTGAAGACCACATAGAGCCAAAATGAATGATATTACCCAAAAGGCTGAGGTAAGTCTCAAAAGTTTTCAATTTTTTTAAAGGAGAGTTGGGGAGGTAGGTGGATTGTAGAATTGGCAGTAGAATTATTTAAAGAGTATAATTTATTGGAAAGGTCTTATTTAGAAGTTCAAAATTAATAGTATAGGAACAAAAGATAAAATGTAAGAAGAAAAATTCATCTGATCCTGGGCCTAGTACTTTCATTTGAACTCTAGTCTAGAAAATATGATTTCTGAATTCAGGAATAACTTAAGGTGGATGTGATGGTTAGCGGCTTGAGTGTAAATACAAGTGATCTTGACAAGTCATAGAAATTACTTATATCCATAAATTCCAGCTAGATATTCATCAAAGATTGTATATTTTAGATGGAAGCAATCTTATGTACTTTCTGCATATCATGAAATATAAATCAGTCTGGAAAATGTATAGACTTGTTCAGTATTAAAAACAGGTTTGACCTATATTTACAGGAAAAACAGATAAGAAAAAGATGAGGTGTTTGTTTGTTTTTTACTTCGTCCAGCAGCTGCAATAACAGCCTTTTTCTGGTTCTTGGTCGTTGTTATTAAGTGTTCCATATGAGGTTCAGTAGCTGAGATTCCAAAGTTACATTTAAAAAACAAACAAAACAACTTTTAACTGGTAAATACACATATTACATAAAATACAGAGTGACTCAGAGTATCAGATGGGGGAAATAACCTAAATGTCTATCAATAGGTAAAAATGTGCCACAAACATTCAATTGAATATTACTCAGTCAAAAAGAAAAATGGAGTTTGGATATATGGTACATCATGGATGAACCTTGAAAACATTATGCTGAGTGAAAAAAGTCAGTTACAAAAGGACAAATGTTGTTTGATACCATTTATAAGGATAAATAGAATAGACAAATTCATAGAGACCAAAGTTTATTAATGATTAGCAGGAATAATAGAAAGGCAGAGAAAGAGGGAGTCATTGTATAAAGGGCACTGAGTTTCTGCTCAAGATAGTGGAATAATTTGGAAATTGTTAATGACAATGACTACACAACATGGTGAGTGAATCAACATCACTGAGTGTACTTGTAAAAATTGTTGATTTGATAAATGTTATATTTTACCAGAATAAAGCAACAATAAAAAAATTACAGGCTGGATTCACTCTCTATCACAGGTTAATTTGCCATTATCACTAGGAGAAAGGGCTTGGGGCTCTGAAGTACTAACATTTTAATTACTAAGACTTGTTTTTGAGATCTGTTTAATTTTCAAAGAAAGGAAAATAGTTTCTTTCCTAAATTCCAAGTGAAGGAAAATCTTTTCCATAGTCTTTTACCAGATTTTCCCTTTTGTGGGAAGCTTTCTTGCCATTTGGGAATTTTCCTTTGAAAACACATTCTATTTGAAATGATATAGCCTCTAAGCTATCTAGTACTATAATAACAGATATATCACAAGTTGAGGACTTTAATAAAGAGACATTAACTTTTCCAGTTTATGTGGCTTGAAGTTCAAATCAGGGTGCCAGCTTCAGGGGCAGGCTCTCTCTCTGTTTAGCTTCTGCTCGTGGACCATCTTCACATGGCTTGGCAACAATTGCTCCCTGGGTCTAGGAGATTGGAAGCTCAGAGATCTCAGGTCCAAAGGAAGCATTCCCCGCCCAGCCCTTCTTTGGTAGTAACAAGTCCTTCCTTCTCTGCTCACTTCTATCTCCTTTTATTTACAATTCAATCCATAAGACCTTCAGACACATTTTTAAAAGTTGAATTAAGGACGTTCCAGATGGGCAGTATAACCATAGTGAGAATATAAGTCACTGTGCACAAAGACCCTGTTGCCACAAATGAGAAGTAAATGATCCTACTTAAGTTTCCATATTAGATATGGAAAGCAACAAGAAGGTATTATGTAAATCAAGCTTTATCATAGATTTAACTGTGTTCTAAAATATGTGTCAAATTGGCTGAGCTATGATTCTCAGTGGTTTGGCAGTTATGGAATGACACAATTTGGCAGTTACGTTATGATCCCCCTCTTTGTGATCTGATGTAATCATCCAATCAGTTGTAAGGCCATTAGAGTCGGATACAACATGCTTACTTGTGTCATAGCTCTGATCTGATGTAAGGAGTTTCATTGCTATGTGGCTAGTGTCACCTTTTTCTTCCAAGAGATAAAAGGAAAGAGATACAAGCAGAGATGGGGAGTATTTTTTCCCCCGTGGGTTTGAACCACCAACCACAGTGCCACTAAGGAGATAATTAAACACTAATTTGCAAGGAGCAGGGGGGTTTTGAGATGGTTTTTACCCAAGTTATAGTTTTATTCTAGTAATGTGTTAAAGGGACAGCACTAAGAGACACCATTTCTCATGTTTCTGCCAATTTAGTAATACCAGCAAGGCAGCTCTCTGTTTATTTACAGCTCTTCTATTACCTACAGAACTAATTTTAATTTATCATATGATTTCAAAACATTTACAATTGCTTTCAGAACTTTTTTTTAAATTGAGGCTTTTTAGTGATACAATGTATCCAAGGATTACTAGACTTTTCAAAGCTTTAGAACTATAAACATTTATGCAATGCAATGAAATTAAACCCATGCTTACAGAGTTAGCAGTGCACATTAATAATCAGTGGAAGAGAGGTTTAGTTTTCTGCTACAAAGTTAATTAGCTTCTGAAATCAAATACACAAGAACTTGCTTATTAGTGCAATACACATGAACTAGACCCTTAATTCCTGATAACTGTAAAATGCTACAGTATTTTGTATAAGTACAGATTTTTATGGAGACAGAAGTTGGTTTCTCTGTTAGTATTTCAGGCAACTTTAAAGAAAGGTATCTTGGTGTTTGCTCTGAGCAGGCTCTTTATATTTTACTTGAGTTTAAGTTGCAAAATAAATGTTTATCCAGACTTAAAATAAAAAGTGGATGAATTTGAAAACAGAACAGTAGAAAGAACTAATTGGAAATTGCATTACTAAGACATTTCTCCTACACCGTAACTGTGATATAAAACATGAACATGACGCTTGATGGGGTCCACAATAAAGTAAGAGAATGTCTGTTCATGATTCTTTGTTGAAGGATAGCACATACCAGCAGAATCATATGCTGTAACTTTAAAGACAGAAGATATAATTTGTATTTTCTTAGTTTGAGGATTCAAACCAAGATGGAGGGTATTAAATGCATCTTTTGGACCCAAGGTCTCTGCATTAAGAACCTCCCAGCCCAGGGGAAGATTGATTGATACTAAGACACACAGAAAAACCTCCAAGAGATACAGCTCTCCGAAGTATAAAGGAATCAAGGACCTTCTCCAGAGCCAACACAAGAAAAAAACATTTTCATATATGCCTTCAGTTCGGTTTTCTAGCCTCCCAACTGTGTGAGAATAAATTTCTGTTTGTTAAAGCCCTTCTCTTGTGGTACTTCTGTTATAGCAACACTAGAATCCTAAGATAGATTAAACTTCAAACTTTTGCTTTGTTTAAATTTTGTCTAATTTACTGAATTAGTATTGGTACATTTTAAATGAGATCAAATCTTAATCTTTACTAATGGAGTAGAACATTAACATACAGACTGTTTTCGATTAAAACTTTTTTATATTTTACTGACCTTCATCCATAAATGGGATTCTGCTCTATGTATTAATGAAATTTATACTCTGGGATTCTCTTTCATTTTATTTTAGTTTTGTTTTAGAAAATAATCAGATTTTGATTATCCAAATAAAGTGTTCGTGGTCATGTATATTTTCTGTTTCAATAAATCTTTCTATGTACTGCTTATTCTGATCAATCTTTGCCTAATTTATTATTTTTTCAAACTTTCTTCTCTTTATTGTCTTCTAATGAAGATTCTGCTTTCTTCATCTAAACCTATTTCAAAAACCTATGTGCCAAAACTTGGCAAAGGTGATGTAAAGGATAAGTTTGAAGCCATGCAGAGAGCCAGGGAAGAAAGAAATCAAAGGAGATCTAGAGATGAAAAGCAAAGAAGAAAAGAACAATATGTTAGAGAGAAAGAATGGCACAGGAGAAAGCAGGAGGTTGTTTTATCTCTTTCTTCTGCAAGTACTCACTCATTCTTATATTTTTAATTTTGTTTACTTTGCATATTAACCACATCCCATATTAAGTGTAATTCAAGTATTTTGCTGTGTTTACATTATAACTTAAATTCAAACTGTACATATACTGTACTTTGTCTAATATTTGGAAATGTGTTCATATTAATTTAACCATTTAGATTAAAGAAATGCTTGCTTCTGATGATGAGGAAGAGCTATCTTCTAAAATAGAAAAGGCATATGTCCCAAAGCTAACAGGTAAGAATTTTGAAGGGTAAACTGTAAATAAAAGTGAAAAAAGGAAATAGCAAAATATCAATTTTTTCCATATGTTTTTAGGAACTGTTAAAGGTAAATTTGCTGAAATGGAGAAACAACGACAAGAGGAGCAAAGAAAGAGAACAGAGGAGGAACGAAAGCGCAGAATTGAGCAGGATATGTTAGAAAAGAGGAAAATACAGCGTGAATTAGCAAAAAAGGCTGAGAAGGTATATACTCAATATATATATATGTATTTTTAATTTAGCCCATTACAAGCAAAGTAAAACTAATCGATATGTTGACTAATTCAAATATTTCAATAAAACATAAGCTCATTTAATAACCGCAGCCCTGGTGGCATGCGCTCTGCGATGGGCCGCTGACTGCAGGATGCGTGGTTGCAGACTGCCAGCCCCTCGCAGGAGAATGGTTAGGGTTTCTATTGCTGTCAAGAGCTCACAGCTCAAACCCCCAGCGGCAGTCCCACCTTGTCTCATCTGGTCGCATGAGTTGGGATCAACTCAATGGCAGTGAGAAAAAAGAAAACCTAAAAACAAAGTCTTAAGTACAAATATTTAGTGATAAAGTTACTATTTTAAGACTGAATATTGCAATGCTTTTTTGTTACTCGCCAGCCTATACACAAGCACCTAAAAATGTCAGTCTTTTAATAACAATCACTAAATACATGTTGATTATGAAACACTAAAGCATAATTAAGGCATCTTCCTACATAATAATTTCATCATATTTCTACTCAATGAGACTATTATTAACTAACTTGTTAACTTTTACCTTTTTAAAATTAGGAGTAGTAGGAGGAGGAATTTGTGACAGCTTTCATTCATATAGTTATTACTGATTTCCAAATCTAGAGTATAATTAAGGAACAAGAAAAGGATTGTTACTGTTTATATATACCCTCTTAACAAATTTTTAAATTTCATGCATTTTAGCTCATAGCATGAGAGCTAAGAGACTGATAAGTATTTTTAAAATACTTGATGCTCTGATTTAACACTGTGAAAAAATATTTCAACAGGATTAATGATTATAATAATATAGAAGCTTTAATTACTAATAGTCATAATTCTATTTTATGAGATGAAGAACAGATCAGTTCAAAGACGTTTCTTTGATATTTTCTCAAATAATTAATTGATATTAAATTATCTGTAGTGACAGAGTTGAAAAGCTGATCTGTTGTTTATGTATTGCAACCTGGTCTACATTGTATGATCAATGAATTTAGCTTACTGAGAAAATGATGGTATTTATTTCTCCATGTTGTAAATAAGATTATATGATATAGTAAATTCAAAGCACTTAGAACAGTGTCTGGCATAAAGTCATTGAGCTATTAATACTTAATATTTGAGCAAAACATTTCATAAGGAGCAAATCATGTCAGTCTCTCCTTTTCTCTACAATGTTTGAACAAAGGCTGTAGCATGGTCTTCACAATATATTGCCTCTTTAAAACCGTTTTTTTTTAAATTAAGAGATTGTGCTTGGTTTTTTTTGGCCTACTTTTGTAATGATTTGAATATATTTGCTGTGCGTGCTTTAGTGTGCACTACATGTCTAAAAATTGACAATAAAATAAAAAGACATGCCATACTTGCATGAAAAAATAATTTATTTGCCAACTTTGCAAATAACTATTTGTATAGTGTTAAATGATGACATGCCAGGTAAACTGGAGAAAAGAATAGAAACTTTCCGTAGTTTATCACGTCATACCTGTTTATCTGAAGAAAGGAGAATGCTGACACCACCAGCTATCAAAGACTTATTTTACAATGAAAATTTACAAGTGGCCCCTATTAAAAACGATTAAAAAAAAAGAAAATTTACGAGGAAATACATTATGAATAGGCTCGTGTTTGGCAATTAATAGTGAGTTTGTACTTGGGTTTAGCCTACTTTCCAATTAAATAATTAAATGTGATATGATTTAGCTATTGAATTGTATGATATGTAGGTTATGTCCCAATAAAATTGTTTAAAAAATGAAAACCCAAAAAAGAAAAAGACTTCAAAAACACGAGAATGGTACTCAGAGAGGGAAAAAGGGCTATTTTACATATTTTTTTTCCAATCTGCTCTTTTTTCCCCCCCCAATATGCTCTTTTAAAATGTTTCTCTGTACATGAACAGGTAATTCTGGCCTGTTGTTAAATTCTACCATTAAACTGGGACTAAATGAGTCCAAATAAATAGTTAAGTATGTATGTAGGTAGAGAAAAAAATAATTTCATCTCACAAATATAGAAAGTCTAATTTAAAGCCTAATTAAGCTTATTTTCCATGTTGTTCAAGTTGCCCCTTGAACAACTTGGGGAATATGGACTATGACCCTCATGTAGTTGAAAATGCACGTATAATTTTTTATTCCCAAATTACTTTACTAATAGCTTACTGTTGAGTGGAAGCCTTAGCAATTACATGAGACAATGGATTGATATATATGTTGAATATCATATACTACACCCACATAAAAGCTGATTTTTCAGTCGGAGATTAAATAGGTACTTTGCCAAAAAGTCCAGTTTGTGGGCTTGCTAGCATAACTGCAGACCTCTTCCTTTTTTACAAACCCTTAGAGTGCATTAACTTATCTCAAAATGGTGAGCAACTTCGTCTGCAGGCTTTAATTTATGGTATATATCAAGCGTTTCAACTTTTTTGGTAATGGCATGGCATTTCTCTACGTCTAGGGAGCACTTCCAGCTTTACCAGTGGCACTTTTATAGTGCTATTTAAGGTTTATATATGCATTAAACTCAATGAAAAATATGTGAGAATCCTGAAAGATCATATGTTCTGTGGATATACAATTTATTGGAGAGGAATTGCTTCCAGGGAGATGATGAGGGTAACAAGCATTTGAAAAAACTAACAAACAAACAAACAAAAAACCCACCACATATAAAGTGGAAACACATGGTCAAATATGTGTTGCTTAAGTGTCAACTGTAATATAATTTAGTGTATCTCAGAATATAGAGAGTAAAATGTAGCATAGATCATCAAGTCTTGGAGAGACTCCCAAGATAATGACAAGTTCTGAGATTATAAGATCTTATCATTTAACATGAGTTAATTCATGGGTTGGTAAACTGTGGCTCTCAAGCCATATAGGCATGGCTCTTTTGGTACATACATGTGACTCTGAACAAAATGAAAACAAAACTAACATAGTTTTATTTAAAGGATGTTTGTTTTTAAAAATCTATTTATGGTTCTCAACTAACTTTTAAATTCTTATGAGGGACAGGATTGATTCTTCTGCCTCAAAAAGTTGCCAACCCCTCCCTTGGTTAGATCATCTACTGGAAGTTAGAATCAAAGGCCAATCATAAGATGGGGGGAAATCTTGGTTTAGAATTATTTAATTATCTTTGACGATACTCTGATGGGCAAGATTAAAGTCCATCAATTCGAAAAGGAGAATAAATTATCGGTGGGAGAGGGAGATGTTGAAATGAAAGAGGGAAAAGGAATTTGATTTGAGAAAGAGTGAAAGATGTTTTCTCTCTGTTTTCCACAAAGCAAAATAAAGTGAAAGCTCACACTCTCACTGAACTTCTGAATATCTAAATTCCCTGTGAACATTTTGCTACCACGGGCCTCTCAGACAAATTAATCCTTTCCCTTATTTATTAAAATCAATAGGAGAAAAAAGTATTCTTATATCTTTTATTGTTTTGGTTTAAATTGAGCAAAGAAAGCAAAAACATAGAAAAGACCACATACTTCAAATATAGTTTATTATCTTACCTTAGAAGCAATAGAGACTTGGGATGCTTGTAGCAGTAAAACATAAAATAAAAAAGAATTTAGCATCAAGGAATCTAGAACTTATTTTCTGTGCACGCTCAATATCTGCCTTCAGAATAGTTTATTTTTTAAGGAAGTATGAATTATTTCTTCCTTGAGGAAAACATGGACGAGAAAAGTAGGTCGAGAAGAGAAGAGGAACTGAGCTCAATTGCTAGTACAAACCAGAGTACAATAAAACTCCCTGATATTTCTGGGGCACAAATAACCTTTAGACTCTTTCATTGACTTTAAAAATTATTTTAAAATAAGCAATATGAATTTTTATTTTATAACCTTCCCCGTTGCGTTTGTTTCTTTTCCCTATCCCTAAATCAAATGGCATTGATTTAAATAATTTATTGTCTCGCGTTTTCAGTTTGCTAAGTGCATAGTCTGCCCCTCTATTTAACCTAAATGACATTTCTTATGAGCAGTGGCCAAATTGACCTCTCCTGTCTTAAAAAAGGCCTTTCAATTGAAATATGAATAGAGAACAAACATTTTGACTAAAATAAATTTTTCCCTAAAACTTCTCATGTGAAAGCCTATACGTTTTCAGCCTACTTCATTACTATATCAGTTATATTTTTGCCATAATATTATATTGTAAAATATAATCACAGTAATTGTTTGATTACTAATGATAGGTTTTCCTAATAATGAAGGAAAATGGGGCAAAGGCAGAAAATGGGGAAATATTTTGGTTGATCTCAATTGAAATTGCTAATTAAATTAATAACTGCTGCTGTAAGCTCACAGTCAGAACACAAGAATTTGGTCCACTAATGCCGGGGGCTTAAGTGGAGAGGAAATGTTTTGAGAATGATGAGGGCAATGAATGTACAAATGTGCTTTACACAACTGATGTATGTATGGATTGTGATAAGAGTTGTATGAGCCCCTAATAAAACGATTAAAAAAAATCAGCCAAAACAAACAAACAAAAAAAGAATTTGGTCCATTATTTAAATTCCCGACTTACAAAGATAGCTTTAATTTTTTCTTAAAATGTTTTTTCATGAATATTGTTATTGCTATCAAGACACAAATATGAATATAAGGTTTACTATCCACTTAGAAGGAAATACTTGGCTAATTTGGAACAACAAACATATTTCAAAAATTATAAATTTGAAAAGTTATTGTACCTCAGGACTAAATAACTTTCAGTTATATGTTTAAAAGCAAAAATTCAATGTAATGTAATGATATGAAATTCTCATTCAATAGATTGAGGACATAAACAATACGGAAACAGAATCAGCGTCAGAGGTAAACAGACATTTCCTTTAATGAAACCTTCACCTAAAATTTGATTTATCTGATTCATAAATTATCTTTTAATTTAAGGAAAAAAATGAAAGGAGATTTTGCTATTTTTATTATAAATACAGCAGTAACAACCAAAAAAGAGAAAAGAAGGTTTGGCAAAGGAAGACCATACTTCATACGTAAAACCCTGACTCAGGTGTTTTTAAAGTGAAGTATGTTTTTGTTCTCATGGTTAGATTAGAAAGATGAGCTGCATTAGTTTCAGGTTGACATGTACTGGCAAAACTATATATTTTTTGAGCTATTACTAACAGTTGAGAATGTTGCAAAGTAACATTTTAAAAACTAAAATTTCTTTTCATCATTTGTCTTCTTTCCTCGGAGTTCCTGGCAATTTGTGGTTTCATTGTCAAATACTAGTATCTGTGAACAGTATCTACTACCTTGAAAGAATGTTCATCCAGCACAGATGTTTTAGTCATCTCCTTTTATTAACATAGACAATAAAAATCACTCTTAACAATTTGATGGTGTGCCAAAATTACAGCTACACAAATCGCAAGCAGTTTTATTTTAGAGCATAGAGTTCTTCACTTCATATTTGAAAAAAATTAAAAGGCAAAAAGTGGTTTAATAGACCCAATGAAAACAAATTTTTAAAAAACAACATTAAAAAAAAAAAAAAATAAGGTAACAAAAGTTTTCACCAATAATATAAATGCTTAATAAATCACTCAGAAGTACCATATTTTTATCTCAGTAAGAATTAATTATATTAAGTATTGAAAAGCTTGCATCGGTGGGAGAATCATATAGAGAAGCTTTTGAGTTATTTAAATTGGAGCCATTCACCATCAAATTGATTTAGAATACTCTTAGGTGCACACTACCTTTTGTAGGCTTGATTAGTCCACTTAAAACAAATCAGGCAATGTTGCTAAAGGTTTATTATCTAAACAGTTGTATTAACACCACTTTCTAGGAAATGCGTGCTTTTTCTGAAGCAATAGATTTCAGCAAGTTTACTCATAATGTACAATTAATTTAGAAAAATATTTAATAACCTGAAATTTGAAATTTTTCTTAATAATTAATAGTAATATTAAATTTACCAACCATGAAGGTAAAGTCCTATGAAAACTAAATTTTAAGAGGAAGTATACTAATTATCTATCTTACAAAATAGGAAGGAGATGACTCGCTACTTGTGACAGTGGTCCCTGTCAAATCACACAAAATAGCTGGAAAAATAAAAAAGAATTTTGAGGATCCAGAAAAAGAACGGAAAGAAGAAAGAATTAAGTATGAAGAAGATAAAAGAATGAAATATGAAGAGCAATGCCATTCTCTAAAGGAAGCAAAGTGTCTTTCATTGGTCATGGTAAAAAAAAATTTTTTATCATTTTATTGTGGGCTCATACTTTTCTTACCACAATGCACAATCCATCCATTGTATCAAACACATTTGTACATTTGTTGCTATCATCATTCTCAAGACATTTTCTTTCTACTTGAGTCCTTGGTATCAGCTCCTCATTTTTTCCCCTCTCCCACCCTGCCTCCCTCATGAGCCATTGATAATTTATAACTTATTATTTTTTCATGTCTTACACTGACCAATGTCTCCCTTCACTGACTTTTCTATTGTCCATCCCCCTGGGAGGGGGTTATATGTAGATCATTGTGGTCGGTTCCCCCTTACTTTGGTAAACTTTTTTTGTTTAGTAAAATTTTTTTAAGGAACAAATCTAACCAGTTTAGTTTAGCTAATTGCATTTCCCCCTTATGATTAACAGAATTTTTAAAATAATGTTTTATTAGGATGATGAGATGGAAAGTGAGGCAAAAAGGGAATCATTCTCTCCTGGAAAATTGAAACTAACTTTTGAAGAATTAGAAAGACGGCGACAAGAAAACCAAAAGAGGCAAGCTGAAGAAGAAGCAAGGCAGCGTTTAGAAGAAGAAAGACGTGCTTTTGAAGAAGCAAGGCGACAAATGGTAAAAACGTTTTAAATATCTTACATGAAATATTACGGGAGATAGCTGTTTTGTCTAAATTCATTAGGATGAATTTGAATCCATTCCTATAAATTCGAGAAAGATGAGGGAACTTCAAAGAGCTTGTAGAGAAATAGACTTAAAAGATAGTTCCTCACAAACTTTTCAAGTCTCTCTGCACATAAAGTAAATCTAAATTGTTTTGTAGTTTCTATTTTAAGGAGGCCTGCTGGTGGAATGACTACTCGTTGACTTGCTATCCACAGGTCCGCAGTCTAAAACCACCAGCTGCAAAGTGAGAGAAAGATGAGATTTTCTGCTCCCGTGGGATAGTCACAGTCTTGGAAAGCCAGGGGCAGTCCACCCTGTCTATAGGGATGCTCTGAGTACGAAGTGACTCATTACAGTGAGAGGTGCCTCAGTGGTAAAAAGTGCTCCGCTAACAGACCGCCTTGAACCCACCTCCCTCTCAGAGGAGAAAGCTGTCTGTGGCATTCCACTTCCGTAGAGATTTTGTCTTGGAAACCCACAAGGGAATTCGACACTTCTCTACAAGGCTGATTTAAGTCGGAATCGATGGCAGTGAGTTTGGTCAGGTTTAGTTTTGGTTTTGTTTCCATTTTGGGACATTTTACCCAATTTTCACAAAACTTAATTTTATTCTTATAAATTTTATAAAAATGCAAAATGATTACTCTTTGAACCTGTTTTCTCTTTAGCCTGCACTGTCTGTCTATAATGACCTGAGGGCAGAACATTTTAAAATCTAATAAGTGTACACTTAACATTTCAGTTGTTTTTCAAATGCTTGAACATGTGAAACCAACAGCTTACAATGGAATATGAAGTTTGCTATATAAGGCATTTATATATATATATATATAATGCATATAGAGAGTAGTGGTTAACACTGCAGGTTTGGGGGCCAGATCTTGTAGGTTCAGATAATTCTTTTAAATTATTTATTATTTTAATTATTTTATATCACATCAAGCAGTATTGTACAATTGCTACCACAATGTTTCAAAACATTTTCGTTCTTCTGAAACTCCTCGATATCAATTCCCCTTTATCCCCTCCCTCTCCCACCCCACCTCCCAGGGACTCATTATTTTTTTTTCCCTAAAAGGCTTTGGTTTTTTTTTGCCATATCGTACACTATCCAATATCTTTCCATTCACATACAATTCTGTTGCTGGATCTCATCGAGTGGTGTTACAGTCATGCTGTCAGCGCCCTATGCCCCTTCCCGTACACCCAGGGAACCATTATTCCTGTTACTGTTTCTGAAGAGTTATTAATCTTGGCTTTCATGTACCTAATGGTCTTAAATATACAAATGAACACATGCAAATCTAACGTGATTAATGAGGTAAAACAAAAACAATAATAGTAAGGGGAGAAAATATTAAAGAACTAGAGGATAGTTATATGGTTCATCAATGCTATACCGCACACTGGATTTTTCATCCCTTTTCTGTGGCCCTTCTGAGAGGGACTGTCCAATTATCTTAAAGCTGGTGTTTGGGTCTCCACTACATCCACTCCCCTTCACATTGATTTGGTTACTGTTTTTGAACTTTTGATACCTTTTCCCCTCAACACCTAATGGTCACATAGGCTGGTGTGCTTCTTCCAATGTGCACCTTGTTGCTTCCCTGCTAGATGGCCACTTGTTTAACCTCAAGCCTTTAAGACTCCAGATGTTATATCCTTTAATAGCCCAACACCAGCTTTCTTCACCACATTTGCTTATGCACCCATTTTGTCTTCAGTGTTTGTCAGGAAGGTACCATGCTGCATTATTAGAACAAACCGCTCTTGAACTGAGTTAAGTTTTAAGTAGCAGCCGAAAGTCCATCTGCTTCCTTGTTGCATTTGCATGTGTACATACTTAAATACACATATATTTATATATTTTCTTTCCTCTTTACTTTTTCTAACCTTTACCCCACTATTATGTTTACCCATCGTTCACCTCTCAGTAATTGCTCAGATACAATTTGATTAACTCGACCAGAAAAGTTACACCCTCCTCACCATCAATTTTAGAACACTTACTGTTCCCCTATACCCATCATTGTTGGCTCCCATACCCTCCCATGGCCCCCAGGAACTGTCGGATCAGTCACTGTCTCCATATGATTGCCTATCTTGTATAGATAAACACCAAAAAGAATAAACAAACACACACACACACATCATCAGTCCAGTCCCACTTTCTCCCAGAGCTCTCTTGAGTCCCGCCAGCCTAACAACTCATACATCCTTTTAGTCTTCAGAATTCCTGTCCAACAGGTGAGCATCCTAAACATCCCCATTGCTGTTCCTGCAGTCAGGGACGGACGGAGTGGGCCAGTGCTGCGTGGTTGCCCCCTACCCCCGCCATTATGCCTTTAGACATTTCGTGTGTGTCCCTTGTAATCCCCAACGTTCAGATGGGGTGCCAAGTGCTGCCCCGAGTCTAATATTGGGATACTTTGTGGCTTTGCTTCCATCATCAGTATTTTGCACTTCCCTCTTGATTTGCCCCCATGTGTGTGGGTCACACCAGCTGCTTTCCCCAAGCTGTATGTGCAGGGTGTCCTCTGCAGTACTGTCATATAGAGGGCGTCACATCTGGAGGTGAGGCTGGCCCTGCAGTCATCTCTAGGAACGAGGTGCTCCTAGCGGGAACATCACCCTCATGGACTGGCACACTGGAATGAGGTCTACTTTTGCTCTCCCTTTCCTGTTTAGATCCCCCACCCCCACTCACCACCCCAATAGCTGTTGGTTTTCTTCCCCCACCCCTCTGGGTCTTAAAGGAATATGTGGAGGTGGGATGGGGGATACCTTTCAGCACAGGTACTGTCTGCATCTGTTTTGATGACATTTGAATCATTGGGTTTGGTCTGGCTCATGCCAGAATATCTGGTCCTCAGCCCGGGAATCGTGTGTTGTGTGCCTTTTCCCTGTGCTTGTTCTGCTGTTTGGACTTAGCTCAGTGGACTAACGTTGTACTTCACCTTTTGTGCTTGACTTCACTCAGCATTATATCTTCCAAGTCTTTTCACAAAATGAGGTGTTTTATAGTTTCATCGCTGTTTTTAGGGATGCGTAGCATTCCATTGTGTGCATATACCAGAGGGTTTTTAAAATCCATTCCTCTATTGATGGAAATTTAGGCTGCTTCCAGTTTTTTGCAACTGTAAATAGTGCAGCGACAAACATCGAAGAGCAGATGTCTGGTTGAGGTCAGTTTCCTATTTCTTCTGGGTATATGCCGTAGTGAAATTGCTGGGTCGTATGGTAGCTTGATTTCCATGTATTAGGTATCCCCAAATCACTTTCCACAATGGCTATATGTATCAACACGACCACCAGCAGTGAATGAGTGTTCCTATCTCACCACACCCCTTCCAACATTGTTACTTTCTGGTTACTTACATTGTTACTTTCTGGTTACTTGGGCTATCTTTGTGGGTGTTAGGTGGTATCTAATAGTTGTTTTGATTTTCATTTCCTGGATGGCTAATGATTTGGAATAGTTTCTCTTATCTCTATTGGCCTTTCGAGTTTCTTCCTTTGTGAATCTTCTGTTCAAGTCTTTTTGTCCACCTTCTCAATGTACTATTTGTTTTTTTCTTGTTGTAAACTTGCAGGATTCTGTAGCTTTTAGTAATAAACCCTTTGTCTGATATGTCATTACTAAATATTCTTTCCCAGACTGTGGGCTCTCTTGAAATCTTTTGATGTACACAAGTTTTTATCTTTAGTAGGTTCCATTAATCTATTTTATCTTCCTTTCAGTGTGTCCTTCCTCATGTCTGATAGCTCCTGTATTCCCTGCCCTAAGGTTCTTAGCTTTGTCCCAATTTTTTCATTAATGATCCTGATAATTTTGGATTTTACATCAAGGTCTGTGATCCACCTTAAGTTTGTTCTTTGTATGGAGTAAGGGTCTTGTTTAATTCTTCTGCAGACTGATAACTAGTTTACGGCACCATTTGTTGAAAAGGGCATCTGCTTCCTGTTTGATATTTTGGGGGCCTTTGTCAAAGATCAGTCATCTGTACGCTGCTGCCTTAATTTCTGGGGTTTCTGTTCTTATCTATTGGTCTGAGTATTATTATACTAGTACCATGCTGTCTTGACAACTGTGCCTGCATAAGTCTGAAGTCAGGTAGTGCAAGTCCATCCACTTTGTTCTTCCTCTTGAGTTCCTTGCCAATTCTGGGCTTCTTCCCTTTCCATATGAAGGTGGTAATCAGTTTTTGCATTTCTTTGAAAAACGCTGGATTTGTATCAGGATTGCATTGAACTTATATAGTGCCTTAGACAGGATTGACATCTTTATAATATTGAGCCTTTTGATCCACGAGCATGGGCTATTCTTCCATTTGTGAAGGTCCCTTTTGGTTTCTTATAATAATGTTCTGTAGTTTTCCTCATACAGATCAATTGTTTTTTTTGCTAAGTATATCCCTAGATATTTCAGTTTATGCTTCGCAATTGTGAAGGGTGCTACCTTCCTGAACTTTTTCTGTAATCCCCTCCAATTGACTTAACAATCCAATTGCCTTCTGCTTGTTGATCTTATATCCTACCACTCTACCATGTTCCTTGATCATTTCCAGCAATGCTATTGTGAAACCTTTGCGGTTCTCTCTATATAAAATCAAGTCATCTGCAAATAACAAATTTACTTCTTTCCCTAGATACATACCTTTGGTATCCTTCCTTTGCCTTACATTATTAACTAGGACCTCCAGGATGATGTTGAATAGAAGTAGGGACAAGAGGCGTCCTGTAGAGTCCCCTTTTTAGTGGGAATGTTTTCATCTTTTCTCCTTTAAAACTGGCTATTCACATGGAACAACATATCAACCTGTGTGATCACGAGGTGTCGAACGGATCACTGAAGACAAAGGGGTGCATAAGCAAATGTGGCGAAGAAAGCTGATGGTGCCCGGCTATCAAAAAGTATAGCGTCTGGGGTCTTAAAGGCTTGAAGGTAA